TAAATAAAGACAGAACGACTGCACTGGTTTACCTAGCTTTTAAGTAAGAAGCAATTGAGTGAGTATGCATCTGCCTCCGATGCAGCTCCACAACAGTGAAAATATGATTCCTGAAATGGTATGTATATTAAGGGGACCCACGGATGTGGATCTCAGGGTTATTTGCATTTAAAATTGATTGATTGATAGATTGACCTGAAGGATTGATGGCAGACAACAAACTCCTTAGGATCAGAAGATGAATTTTGGTCCAAATGTTTGCAACTTCACTCCTCCTTATCCAGAGATTCTGCATCTATGGATTCAACTATCCATGGCTTTAAAAAAAAATTTTTAATCCCCAAACCAAACCTTGCTTTTAGCATTTTATGAAAGAGACAACCTATGGCATTATATGTAATGGGACTTGAACATCCACTGATTTTATTATCTACGATGTGAGTGTATGTATCCAGGAACCAATTTCCAGTGGATATCAAGACACCACTATAGCTTGTTTGAACTTATATTCTTTCTCATTGCTGCCTTTTTCATTGGTGGAGGTTTCCTTTCTATGCAATGTAGCTGGATGATGAACTTTGCCTCTTTGAAACTCCAAGTATGCTGTGTATATATACATTGGCATATACAGATGCATTTGAAGGACAAGATGAAAATTTATGTACCCTGATATGTGAAGGGCGGGTACAATTTGTGTGTGCATTTGTGTACAAAAGTGGAAAGGAAAGAGTAGAAAGTATAGCATATCACTCTGTATCGCTCTGAGATGAAAGAGGTGGTCAAGCCCCCATTTAAACAGTTCCACTGGCTGCCAAGAAGTTTCCGGTCCCAGTTAAAGGTGCAGCTTATCACCCATAAAGCTCTAAACAGTTTGGGACCTGCCTATGTTTGTGACTGCATCTTCCCTTATGAACTTACACGATCTTCTGGGGAGGCTCTTCTCTTGCTTCCACCTCTGTCTCAGGCACGGTTGGTGGGGAAAAGAGAAAGGGCCTTCTTGGTGGTGCCCCCCCAGCTCTGAGTATCCTTCCCCAGGGAGATTAGGCTAGCACCCTCCCTGTTGACTTTCCACAAAGACCTAAAGACGTGGGTGTTCCGCTGTGTGTTTGACTAGACAGGTCCTTGGATAACTGGCCCCAGCTAGGACGCCAAAATCTTGTCCTCACACTTTACTATTGTTGTCCAAAGCTATAATGACCTATTTTACATTGCTCTTATCTTTACTGCTGCTATATGACCTATGCACTAGCCCTATTGTATAAATTGTTGTTGCACTAGTCTGTCCACCATGACGAGACTTGAATTATGCTATTGGTTGTTGGTTATGGTGCTTGTTTTATATATTGTTATAAGGCTGCTGTTTCTATTTTGGTTTCTATTGATGTCATGCATTTTAATGTGTTATGTTTTAACTGTGTTGATTGGGCTTGGCTCCATGTAAGCTGCCTCGAGTCCCTTCGGGGAGATGGAGGAAGGGTACAAAATGAAGTTATTATTATTATTATTATTATTATTATTATTATTATTATTATTATGCTGACACAAAAACACAGTATGACACAGCAAACAAGATATATATGCTAGATTTTACATCACAAATTCACAAGTCAAACACTTCCCAAGCATTTAGGACTCCGTGATGTATTTTCCAATGATGCTCTCAGATCCAAGTAAGGTGGCCTTTTGCAGTTGACAGATCATGATTTTGTCAATGTTTATAGTTTTCAAATGCCAGCTGAGATCTTTTGGCATGGCATCCAGTGTGCGGATTACCACTGGGACCACCTGTACTGGTTTACGCCAGAGCCATTGCAGTTTGATTTTGAGGTCCTGACAGTTATTATTAATTATTTATTAATAATTAATAATAATTTATTATTATTGTTGTTATTGTTATTATTATTATACTTACTGAAATCAGCATCCTAGGATGCTTCCACGCCATCTTCAGGACAGAGCCCCATGTTGGCCATTGCACGATGTTGTGTGGTTCAGGTGGAGCCTCCGCCTCCAACTGTGGGAGAAGCATCGTTGGATGCTTTGCCCAGAACATGGGAGGACGATGATTTGCCTATGCGATGGGGAAAGCCTCGCTGAGAGGGAGCTGTGCTCAGGGTGACAAATTCACCCTACTTTTGTTGTGAAGGCCAGGCAAAGTGAGACACTTCAACTGGTCTTTCTGATGAGGCCCTTAGGATTGTGAAACCTCAAGTGATAGAAAGTCCCTTTTGGTTGAAAAGAAATTCACTCTTGCCATGCTTTGTTCACCCTTATTTTACACACACAGCTTGCCAGGAACTGCATTGGTCAACCTCTTGTAGTCTGTTCCCTGCTGGGCACCGAATGCCTTCGAAACAATACTTTAAAAGCAGGAACATGTGCTCAGGTTACTCAAAACAGTTTAACGGTTAAGGATGCCCAAGGATGCACTCTGGGTTGACAAATCTGACATGCGGTGGTGAGCCATGGGGTTTCAAAGAAAATAAGGAAGCAGCATGATCCTGCCAGAGTGAAGACATTCCATCTCTGCTGTGAAACATTCAGCGGTAAGGCCGCTTAAAGCATTATCAGCAACACCAGTCGCCAGAGCCAAAGGGTTAATTAAATCAATCAATGAGCAAACCTGAAAGACTACTTGAAACAAAAATGAAGCTAAATGAGGAGGACCCTTGACGCTGGAAGCCCTTGCATTATCCCATTGATGGCAAATCAAGTTGCAAGGAAGCCTGATTTAAGAGGCTGAGAAGACCCCATGATTAATGCTGCGGAAACTCTCTACGGGGGTCGTGCTAATGAATCTTTTTGAAAATCAGGGACAGAAGTATACACAGTGGATGTTTCCATCTCTTTGGGCCCACTTCTCTCCTGTCCCAGAGCAGCCAAAATGCATAAGCCTATTTTATTTTCCCCACTTTATTGGAGTATTGGAAAGTTTCATGGAACTTCCCATTCTGTTCTTTGGGGAGTAGAGGATCAAAGACTTATAGATGTTGGTGATATCTTTACATTTATTGCACAAAGGAAAATCAGCTGAATGATCAAAGCCAGGACAAGAAGGAAGGGCCTCATAACAGGCATAACCATAAATATAAAAATAAACTTGTCTCAAAGTAATGTTATAAAGGGCATATAATATCAAAAACGAGGTTAATGCTCCTTTTGCTGCTGCTGCTTTGTGTCTTCAGATCAATTCTGACTTATGGTAATCTTATCATGGGTTTGTCTGGGGTTGAGAGTGTCAGTCAGAGGGTTTCCATTGTTAAGTGGGGAATGAAGCTTAAGCTCCATAGTCACAGTCCAGCATTCAAATCTCTAACCCATACCTGCCAACATTTTATAAATGAAACAGGGATACGTGTGGCCAAAAGACATCAGAGTGTGGTCACAATGGCAAAAGCTATTCCTGAATAAACACAAACCAGATAGGAGAGTCTGCAATGGCTCGGTTTTGCTAGATCCTATTGGGAAGGGCAAGCTTTCTCTTGCTCTGCTGAGTGAACTGAATGCAAACTACTTTTGTCCTTTGTACTCCCTTTTCAGCAAGTAATTTATACGAAAGACAAAGATAGAAAGTGGGAGAAAGAGAGAAACTGGGACATTGTGAAAGTAGTTGAAAAGGTGAAACTGACAGAGGATTGGTTGGGACTGTTTCTGATAAATTGGGACAGTTGGAGACTATAGTGCAGATGCTTTTCAGCCTTTAGAATGGTAGATTGTATAGAAAATCTTGGAAATTGTTTATTAATGGTGTCACGGGGATGTGGCCATCTCAGAAGGTCAGATGTATCCCCTAAAATCTAAAGTTAGAGGTTATATTTGTCTGCCCAAAACATGCTGGCAGACCTGTTATGAGGGACCTAAAGGTGCTTTAATACATTGTTTGACTACCTCATTCTCTTTTGACTTCTGAGCAGAGAAATTGGACATAAGCCATATTATCTACCACAGTCAAGGGCTTGTTTACACCACCAAAATAACCCAGGTGTGATTCACATTATTTAGCCCTAGAGTTACGTCAGATTCACCCTGTTAGTGAATGTGACATAATGCAGGCATGGACAAACATGGGTCCTCCAGATGTTTTGGACTTCAACTCCAAACATCTGTTAGGAATTGTGGGAATTGAAGTCTAAAACACCAAGAGAGCCAAAGTTTGCCCATGCCTGACACAGTGCCACCCTATCTGTGTTGAAATTGTATTGCTGCTCATACATCAAATTAGAATCAGCACAATTTTTATTTCTTCTTCTCCTTGGAAGTGATTTGCTTGCTGCTGTCTTCTGGGCCAAAGAGCTTCCCAGCAAAGTCCCACTGGGAACGTCACTTGCTTGGATGTCAGAACCTAGCCATGAGAACAACGATGAGCCTGATCAACCCTGGGTATCATGTTCTGAGTAAGCAATTTCCCAGTAGGGTTGCGCTGAGAAGCCAGTGGTCATGAATCTGAGCAGATGAGCAGAAAGGAAATCGGGGACCCCCCCCCCCCGCCCCAGATTCCTAACAGAAAAAACGGAGAAAGGAAGGCAATTGCTAGGTCCGCTTGGGTCTGCCGGTTCCACTTCAAGGAAGTAGATTACCATTGCCTCCTTCTCTCATCTCTGTCCCTTTTCTGCACAGAAATAAAAGGATTTTTCATAGTAAACATCACACACCTCAGCAAGTAGCAGAAGACATGTAAACAAAAACAGTGGCACTCGCCATCCAGCGACCTGTCCCGTTCCTCTCCGCTGAAGCCACCTTGATCTAGAGTGGACAATGTAGCAAAACACTGCAATAGACCAGATTTTCCTGAAAACTGTGGAGCATGAAGTGAGTTTGCTGTATTGCAATAAAACCTTAAAAAGACTTTCCCTGCTAAAGGGGTTGTATGTTGTGTTTCAGGAACAAGGCAGCTACAAGGTTAGTACGATTTTTTTGACCATGTAGACAGGCCCCTAGAGAGACTTTGACATTCACAAATAAATGGAAACTCAAAAAGCAGAGCAAATGATCTGACTCACTTTTGTTTGGTCCAGTTTGCAAAGGCACAGCAATGGCTCGGATAGGTGAGGTTGGCCTCAATCAAAGCACGAAACTTGTCCAAGGGAGGTAGCTTTTTTAGATTGTACGCAGATCTTGCTCTCAGTTTGCTAATGCTCTCTAGTCCAATGGTAGGGAGCCGACTGATCCTTGTCTCTGAAATATCCCTTTAAGAAAAAAAGAGCAATTGTTTCATATTGTTTCTAAACAATCCAATAAATGGCATATCAGGAATTAGTATTCAAATTAATTTATAATTCATGTTTTCCAAATGCTAGGATCAAAGGCAAGTTGCAGGAAGATTAACTGGAAAAAAAAGTATAGATGAAAACTCTAAAATATTATATTAACGCACAAGGAAACAAACCAGGAGGAATGGAAAATTCAATTTCTGTCTGAAGTTATATAATGTATCTTGATCAGTATTTCCTGGACAGTTCATGGAGCAGCAACCATTTGTGCTCTGGAAAAGCAATGTGTGAATCAACAATAATCCACTTTGCATCTTTTTGCAGGTCAAGCACTTGATTTTTTTTCATACTGGTGAATTTGAGATAGAAAAAATTACACATTTTCCCTACAAGTTGCACAAATAGAAAGCCACTTGCATGCATTATTTATGCAAAATGTGCTGCTTCTTCTCCCTTCTTGGTTAATTTGCATCTCTTTCATGATCATCCACCACTTTCAAAAGTAACGCTAGGCCTGGAAGTCATATGTTTATCTCTTGTGCTAACATTGCTTTGGGTATTGTATGTCTTTTTCTCCTGTATTATTATCTTCAAGTTTTTGTAGTCCCCCCCTCCCCATGTGTTGTTTTCCATACAGTATAAAACATTTTCTCTGTTAAATAGAGACATATTTCAAAGTAACACCAAGGATACAATCTTGTATGGCTCAGCATAGTTTATTAAGTCTGCCTGTGGGCATATGCTAAATTAAGCCATATACCACCACCCCTGATTTACTGAACGGTCTCTGAAATCCCCATCTCATGGAATTCCCTGTTTCATGGGTAGCAAGCAGAAGTGTTTGGCAATGTTCCCATTGACAGATGCCAAATGATCAAAGCAGTGCGGAGACCTTTGATGAACCTCAGAGTTGATGTAATCATTCTGTAATGGGCTAAAGGCACACTCCTGACTGATCCCTACAAAGCAAGGAAGGTTTTTCAGTATGTTGTGGAGGGAGCTTTGGGTCCCGCAAAGGGAGGAAGGGAATATCAACCCATGCAGTCTCCCCAAAAGGACACTGCATGTTGTTGTTGTTGTTGTTGTTGTTGTTGTTGTTGTTGTGTGCCTTCAAGTAGTTTTTCTGTGTCCCAGTGAAGACATCTGCCCTTGTGCTTTGCTACTCTGCTGCTGAATATGCATGCGTAGTGTGGAATACATCTCACCATGCTAAAACAGTGGATGTGGCTCTTAATGAGATATGCTGCATTATCACAGGATGTCTACACCCCACACCACTGTTTAGCCAGTATTGCACTAACTGACATCCATTGGGAAGTAACAGCCAAAATTAAAGGACCAAGGCAGTGACATCTCCAGCCCATCTTCTGTTCGGATATCAGCCAGCATGCCAATACCTTAGATCAAGAAACAGCTTCCTAAGGACCCTTCCACACACCCCTATATCCCAGAATATCAAGACAAAAAATCCCACAATATCTGCTGTGAACTGGGTTATCTGAGTCCACACTCAGATAATGTGGGATTTCCTGCCTTGATGTTCTGGGATATAGGGTTGTGTGGAAGGGCCCCAAGATATACACACAGCAAGTAAGAGTTCAAAAGTGGCAGGTTAAAACTAAGAACCTCAATCCATGGCTGAAACTAGATGACAGAATCCCCCCTGGGCACACAGAAGGCTGGGTAACTTGGAAGGCGCTGAATAGACTGTGCTCTAGCACCACGTGGTGCAGAGTCAATCTTAAGAAATAGGACTACAGAGTCCATGACATGCGAGTGTGGGGAAGAGCAAATCACAGACCACCTACTACAATGCAACCTGAGCCCTGCCACATGCACAATGGAGGACCTGCTTACAGTGGCATCAGAGGCAATTCAAGTGGCCAGGTTCTGGTCAAATGACATTTAGGATAATGCCAAGTTTTTAACTTTTGTTTTTTAAACCTTTGTTTGTCTTTTTAAATACATTATAACTGTACCCTCAATTAGCTTCTGACACAAGAAATAAATAAGTAGTTCCCAACTTATGGTGACCCTAAGGGAAATCTATGCCAAGAATTTCTTGACAAGCTTTGTTTAGAGGGGGAACTGCCTTTACTTCCCAATGAGCCTGAGAATCACCCATTGAGTTTCTATGGTTGAACAGGAATTTGAACTCTGATCTCAATGCTCAAACCACTACACTATATCTGTCAACTATATGTGCCAACATGCTGGCTATCTAGGGGAATTTTACAAATTCATGTATTCCAAATTCATGTCTGGCTTTGACATATACCATCACAACTTATTATTTAGTTTATTATAGCTGATGGAATTCACAATGGTCAAAATTTCATGCTAACCTTTAAAAGTCTGTAGCACCCCCAAATTCTACAGTTTCCTGGCTTGGTGGAGAGCTAGAGAAGCAGCAGACAAAGGTCTAGCTATTTCCTATATCAACAACATCATCTGCAGACAGCTGTCACTGTGTGTTCAGCTACAGGAAAAAAAGCTGAATGCTTTGTGGGTCTCTAGTTCATTTGTATGTTGTGCTTCTTCATCAGCTTTCCTATATGGTTAGTGGTTCCCTTGATGTACAGTATATCATATACCATTGTCATTATATCATATATGAAATGATAAAATAGTATTCACAAACCATATTAGAGTGGGTTGTTCTAGGTTTTTTTCGGGCTGTATGGCCATGGACCTCACCTCACTACCTCTGAGGATGCTTGCCATAGATGCAGGTGAAACGTCAGGAGAGAATGCCTCTAGACCATGGCCATACAGCCCGAGAAAACCTACCACAACCCAGTGATTCCGGCCATGAAAGCCTTCGACAATACATCTTAGAGTGCATCTGCACAATAGAATTAATGCAGTTTGACGCCAATTTAACTACCATGACTCAAGGCTATGGAATCCTGGTAGCTGTATTTTTACAAGGTCTTTAGCTTTCTTTGCCAAAGAGTGCTGGTGCTGCTCACCAAACTATAGATCCAAATATCATATAGCAGTTAAGATTGGGCCAAGACCTGCTGGTTATTTCAAGGCAGGTGCAAAGCTGAACATGGTTCCTTAACCTTCAATAGTAAAAGCCCTAGCAGGTGCAACTTTTTTCCTTTGTAAATGGAATAGATACTGCATAATCTTGTGCTTGCCATAATTTCTATCTCAGCACATTCACCATTGTTTTTTCCCCTTCCTGGCTCCCACAATGTCCACCTAGAAAAGACAGTTTCCTATGTGAGTCCTTCCCAATGGAAGAATCCAGCTTATTTTGGTTCACAATCATGCCTGAAATTTCTGTCCTTGCCTGGTTCACTCTTTAGTAAATCAGACTGCTGGCCAAAGATCTACTATGCTGACACATTTGTTTTGAGAAGAGTTATAATGTTTTCAACATTTGATGCCACCATAGATCTATTGATGGTTCGGTGGCTTGCAAGCTATAAAGAACTGCAAGCTTTTAAGCGTGGCTTGTATAATGATAATGACTTCAAGACAGCTAAAGAGACCAGCTTTCCAAGAGAAAACCCATGCCAAACAGATAGGGTCTTGTCTGTGAGGAAACAGCAATGAGAACTGACAAAGACGAGATGGAGGTGTAAGCAATTTATCTGGATTTTGTATAAAGAAAAGAAAGGAATTTCTTGCAGTGTTAGCAACCAAGAATGACACTGAGTTTTTCTTTCTCTCTGTGAATGAATCACTATGGTTGAAAGGCAGAAATAAATGGATACAAATCAGTGTGCAGGGAGGAAAATGTCATGGAGAGAATTCTAGTGGACTGGCATTTGGTTCAGCATTTGCTTTCAGTTACCTCAGCAATTTCAAGGGGAGGAGAAACCAGAGAGAGTGAAAGTTGACACAAAACTGATCAAATGTCGAAGGTTGAGTGAGCCAAAGGCTACGGATAAAAAAAAAACTGTAGAGATGACAAAAACTCCAGAGATGGTAACAAATTGAAAATTAGGAGAAAATGATTCTGAAAGAGACAATAAAAATACAATTGTAGACCACTTCAGCGGTGTGAAGGCAACAATTCCACCTGTGAATCAGAGTATAGCTGCTTTGAGAGGTTTGGTCAAGAATACATACTGAGTCACATCATGCCGTTACGTTCTTAGAATAGTAGAGATGGAAGAGGCCACAAGGGCCATCCAGCTCAACCCCCTGCCATGCAAGAAATTCCAATCAAAGCACTCCAAAAGATGGCTATCCAACCCCTGTTTAAAAACTTCCAGAGAAGGAGACTTTTTTACCCTCCAAGGCAACAGCATATTTTACTGTCAAACAACTCTTAGCATCAAGAAGTTCTTCCTAATGTTTAGGTAGAATATCTTTTCTTGCAGTTTGAAACTGTTGGTCCATGTCCTAGTTTCTAGAGCAGCAGAAAACAAGCTTGTTTCTTGCTCAATATGGCATTCTCACAAATCCTTAAATATGGTTATCATGTCCCTTCTCAACCATTTATTCTCCCAATTAAAAACACGCATCTCCCTAAGCTGTTCTTCATAGAGCTTGGCTTTGAGACCTTTGATCATTTTGGTTGCTCTTCTTTGAATGTGTTCCAGCTTTAATTGTAGGATGCTCCTGTGCTAGTGGAATCGCATGCTCCTGCGATGCAAGAGGTTATGTTCATGATAGCAATGCTGCTGGCAGGATCTCCCATCTCAGACAGACTGAATGTAGCAAACAATGTCTGGACAGTTGGCTTGTGCACAAATTTGGGTTGGTAGATTCCCTTTGGCCAATCCGGGTAGTTTGGATGGTCATAATGGCAAGGGCTCAGCCACCATGTTTTTTTCAACTGAAATGTCCCATGTGGCTGCCGAGCGCAGTTTCTTCCCTTCTATTTGAGAGTATGTGGTGCATGTTTCCTTAACCCCATTGCTCAAAGCCAGATTCCCATAAAGGCAAGAAAGGAAAGGGTCCCAGGAAGAGTGCTTCCTTAACCTCGTTCCTCAAACCGAGGCTCCCTTGAAGGCAAGAAAGGAAAGATCCAAGGAAAGGTGCTTCCTTAACCTTAAGTACAGTACAATAAAACTGGGAAGACAAGATTTTATTAGACTGTTTTGGATGATGATTTAATATGGTGATATTAATCTGGTGAACTAGTTTTAATGTATATATTTTTAACCATTTTAATATATATGGATGCATTTATTATGTGTTTTATATCATGTTTGGCATTGAATTGTTGCCTGTTTGGAAACCGTTCAGAGTCCCTCCTCGGAGGTCGAGAAGGACAGGTTATAAATGCCCGAAATAAATAAATTACAAACTTTGTTCCTCAAACCCAGGCTCCCTTGAAGGCAAGAAAGGAAAGGGTCCCAGGAATAGAAAGAGGAGCCTTATAAGTTCCCCATTGCCACCTGGCTGGATCTTCCCAGATCTTTTGGTTGCCTAGCCCAAAACAGATATTTCCATTAGATGATTTTCAGGAGCTCCTAAAAAAACGGATCTGGGTGCCCAATGAAATTTGGATACCCCAAATGGGTCACTCTCTAGCTGAATTGCGTAAGCCTACTGAGCAGCAGCAGAAGTGTGGCAGTGAATCTCTCAGAGACAAGAATAGTGGTTTGTTTCACCTTCACAAAAGAAGATACCTCTTGTTATTTTCTTTGGAAGGGCTCAAGGAGCAGGGTTTGTAAACCTCAATCAGAACCAACACAACAAGAATGTTGGGAGACATAGTCCGACAACAATATTAGGAGGACCATAGCTTTCCTATGCCTGCTTATGGAATGAAATGTTTTATTTTGTTTTACCATCAAATTATTCAGATATTTTACCTTACAATTTGCTGTCAGATGTGGTATTGTTTGTCAAGATAGGTGCCCTATTACTTAGCTAATCCTGTTGACTTTGTTTTTATTTATCATGTTTAGTAGTGTTTATCGCATTCCATTTCTACATAGGAAAGGGGGATTCTCTGACTGTCTTGGCATTCCTAATTTCCCACAAATCTTCTAGTTTGGCTCTGTTTTTGACAATGCTTATTCAGCCTTGTCTAGAATATCAAGCTTGCTTTATCCAAGATTTTCACATTTGGATGAGGCTGTTACTGAAACTTCTTTGTAGCCAGCAAGCAATAATAATATTTTTTTGGAAAGGGAGGTGGATGAGTGGCTGAACCAACCAACCATTATTTCCTGTAGTGAAAAGTTAACGCGACACCTCTGTAAGCAGGAGCCAAATACAATTACATTCTGATGGGTTATCAAATTGAATTCCCTTCAGTTCAGATTCATCCGATCGTTCAAATTCAAACACTGAGTTATTTTTATGAGAAAATATTTTGTCCTATTGCAGCGTTCTGTGGATGGTAAATTGCCTTTCTTTTATCCTAGCCAAGATCATGAAAGAGAGTTGTTCAAATCATCTGTTACTGGAGTGTACACTCAAATGCACTTTTGCTTACAGAAATGATTGACCCACAATATACCATCTTTGCTTGTTAAAAGCAGAAATGCTTAAAACAATTCTTTTTTTTTTTGCTTCCAGCTTTCTCTTTTCTTCTTCTTTCTGCCCAAGCAGAGTGAGTTTTATGTTAATTAAATATCACAAAAGGCTGTCTTAAGATAGTATTCAGGTGATAATTAGTAATGCAAATATTCATAAACAATGATACAGTATCAACATTTGCACAGATTGTGCTGCAACACACCAAATGACAGGGTTATCTGCATAGGATGCATAACACAAGYGCACAATGTAGCTTGAAAAAGTGACCTGACWGAAACACAAARCAGGGACTMAAGACTATTAATTTYATTCTTRAAGAAAGCAAKAAGTCATTTAGCAATTTTATTCCTGCTGTTAGAAGGTCTTTGAAAAATGCATATTTTAAAAGAAAACRATTCAGAGTTTCAGACATAWGCTACCCAAATKTTGTACATTGTTGTGYAAACCCCTCCAAAAMACACAGAATTTTCAGTACAAAAATATCTKTGCAGAAATATTATTGTCTGCTKAGAAACYRCTGTATTTGGGAACTTATTTTGACTATTTTAWATATATATATRTTTCCCTTCTTARTAGARAYKARTYGGTTCATATATMTTTTCCYCATWTATKGTCAAGATTGGSAGCYCCAGAAGATAAAGGTACTAAATTTATATCTGGGAGTGCCTTGGATCGCAAGAAAAGCAAMCCAGTCCAMATACCATGAAATAAAGCCCACRYGCTCACTGGAGRGAAGGATATCAGAGGAMAAAGATGAAGTACTTTGGAAACATAATGARAAKACAGGAAAGCTGGGAGAAGATAATGAAAAAGGAAGGAAAAAGGAAGAGGAGCYGACCAAGGGCAAGATGGATGGATGGTATCCTTRAAGTGACTGGCTTGACCTTGAAGGAGCTGGGGGTGGCCACAGCCAACAGGAAGTTTGYGTGGGCTSGTCCATGAGGTCACRAAGAGTYRGAAGCGACTGAAYGAATAAACAGCAACAAATTTATATCTGTATCCTTGTCTGATCCAGGATGGTAAGACAGCTATAAGTAGATGAGAATAATTACTTACAAAAAACTTGGTCCATTGGCTCCTTGGAAAACTTCATTTGGTAGCTTATCGAGGTGGTAATTACCACTCAGATTTCTGTAAGGGATAAAAATATAACTTGTAATCATTTTTGGGGTGGGGAGGATAACCAGCTGAGTTGTTTAAACAGCTATCATTTAATTGATCTGTGATTTGAAATGAATGTTAGCTATTGATTGTGGATCTTGGCTGCAAAATTCCCTCTCAAGGAAGGTACAGTTGCTCCCTCTCTCCTTTCTTTCCACTGGCAAGTAAAGATCTTTTTGTTCAGACAGGCCTTTGGCTTATCTCTCATGTGCCAGTTTGGTTTTTTAAATAGGATTGTGTTATGTTTTAATTATGTTTTATATGAGTTAAACTTGCTGTTTAAACCAAACTGTTGTTTAAGGTTTTTCTAAAATGAATACATTAAAAATGGTCAGAAATGATATTTGGAACATAAACTAAATGCACTGAACAATGTTAATAACTATTCAGCTTTGGAAGTCCTGGAGAAGTCCACAAGGCACACCTCCACTCTGCAACACTTATAATAATTTCTGGAGGCCTTTTGTGTGTAGAATATGTTTCTAAATTTAATTGTACTTGCATTGGGTTGTTGTAGGTTTTTTTGGGGCTATATGGCCATGTTCTAGAGGCATTCTCTCCTGATTAGATGTCACCTCTCAACAAAAGATTGCCCCAGGCACTGCCAGGCCATCAAATGCTAATCAAGGTGGTCAGTTGAAGCATTCACACCTAGCTCCAACAGACAAGAGTCCTTTGTCCCACCCTGGTCATTCCACAGATATATAAACCCTTTTTCCTAGTTCCAACAGACCTCACTACCTCTGAGGATGCTTGCCATAGATGCAAGCGAAACATCAGGAGAGAACGCCTCTAGAACATGGTCATATAGCCCCAAAAAACCTACAACAACCCAGTGATTCTGGCCATGAAGCCTTCGACAATACATTGTACTTGCATTGTTTTTATTTTTTGTGAATCTCTTTAGAGCAGTGGTTCTCAAACTGTGTTCCTCCAGGTGTTTTGGACTTCAGCTCCGAGAAATCCCAGCCAGCTTACCAGCTTTTAGGAATTGTGGAAGCTGAAGTTCAAAACATCTGAAGGAGCACAATTTGAGAACCACTAGTTTAGAGAATTTTTTAAAGAAGTGATCAAAATAAAACAAGAATATTATATTTTTAACAGGAACCTTTGGTTTAAAGTCAAATATGATAGTTGAGGCTACTCTGCCTCCAGCAAGGAAATTTAGACTGCAAATCACTTCCAATGCCACAATTGAAACTGTGGGCACATGAATATCTTAAAGTCTACCCAAATGAATTGCCTAAACACCCAAAAGCTACTAGATCCATCTGATTTTGGAATCTAAGTAGGTTCAGCTCAGGTTAAAATTTAGATAGGAGATCACTAACAAATATCGGGTATCACAGGCTATGTTTTAGTGAATGGAACTGACAAAATCACCTCTGAGTATTGTTTGCCTAAAAAACCCTATAGAATCCATGGGGTCACCATAAGTTAGCAGGGGACTTGAAGGTGTATCCATCACACTTCTGAACAGCACAGCCTAATCCCTTTTGCAGCTCCACTCACTACATAATCCACATTCATCTCCTCATGCAAACCATCCTTCAAACAAGAAGTTTAGGAAGGCCAATGAAGTCTGTGCTAACTATTGAACTACCCCATTTGTAAACATTGCACTCTGGAATATGTTTGCCAAGTTTTTAAAATAGCAATAAGGGACATGTGAAGCACAAAATGCAAGGGTAAGCTCCGTCTTGCAAGAAGAGGGTTTCTGTACTCTCATGAGATCACACATCCCTAACTTCTGGAAATTTCATGGATTTGATTGAAATGTTCTCTCCATGAATTTCTAGTTCCTACTGTGCAACTCTATGGTCAGCTTCCACCAGAAATTGATCATGGCGTTGTGCTGGAAGATCTTGAGATTCCTTAAAAGGTTTTTTTTTCATGTAAAAAAAAATTCACAGTTTTGCCACATTGATGGGAGCCTTGTGCCTCAACCCTTGCAAAAGTGAAGGGGTACATAACAATAGGTACATAACAATAAGCACATTGCCCAAATCAGCTTCTTTCAAACTTGTTAGTTGAGGAATCCACACTCAATCACAAAGGAGAAGATGTTGTTATTGCCAATTAACCTTGTCTCTTGAAGAGGTAAGGTTTGCATACTCCAAGATATAAGACCCCCAACAAAGCTTTTGTGTGCTGCTCTGAGTTTTCCCTAGGAACATTATGCTTAGATCAGAATTGCCCAAAACTAGTTCCACTTTGGTCTCTGTGTTACTCAGTAGTTACCACTGTGTGCTGAAAGCTTGGGTAAAGAAAATAAGTAAAGCTATTAAGCTTCCAGGACAAATAGGTTGAGTCCCAGCATCAATGTATAATAACAGTAAATAAAAGGTAGCAAAGGGATTGTGGAGAAAAGAATCCATCATTCTTTCACATGTAGAAATCTATTATCAACCATGATTATATTTGGCTATTTTATTAAGAGACACCTACAGAATTTGATAGCTCCAAGGGTCCTTGGAAAATTAATGGATCAGGACCATATATTGCATGAAAAATAGCCACATTTCTCCCAACACGAACATAGGATTTGACTGGCATTAGAAGAACATACAAATTTTATTATTTATTATTTCCCGTATTTGTATCCCGTCACTTCTCAACCCCTGAAGGGGAACTCAATATTAAATACTGGAGTGAATGTCTTTGCTGCAGTAAATAGTTCCCATGAAATACCCTCCACATTTTTAAGGAAAGTAGGAAGGAAGCAAGGGAGGGAGGGAGAGAGAATAAGTACGCACAGTTCAGACAAGATGGTTCCATTGAAGGCATGATTTTCAATCTCTCGAATTCCATTTTTATTCAGCCTTCTGCAATAAATAGACAAGAATGGTGGCATAAAACATTCAAACATTATTTAATACAAATGCACCTGCCATTATGATATCAATTTAAGACAGTGCATTTTTCTATAGTACATCATGTTAGGAAATACTGCCTGTAGAAAGAGTTTGTCACATGCTCCATTTGGCAATAGAAGGAGAAGTATCTGGGATGTAGCAATTCATTTTGTTTATGCCCTACCTTTTGAGGAACTCAATGTGACCTATTCAGAGACAGCAACTAGTCTGTGAGCTTTTCAAGTGAGCTTCACAGCCAACTGGGAATTTGAACAAGGGTCTCAATGTAAACAGAATGAGAATGATGTAGTAATTCGAGTCTTTAGCTAGGACTCTGGGAGACCAAGGTTCAACTCCTTGCTCACCCATAGAAAGCCACTAAGTAACCTACTAAATAGAATAATTAAATACCAATAAGATCAGGGAGTCTGAATCTGTAATCTCAAACGTTGTGGAGATCTTTCCTTCCCCTCTTCATTCCTCCTTTATTATCATTTGTTATATTCATCATAAGACCACCGCAGAACTAGTCACTTTCTCTGCTCTTATTGTGTCCTGGCAAGGCTCATTCACTTTTAACCCAAAGTGGCAGTCCTGAATGATGGGTTGACAATGAATCATTTAATTAAACTGTCAGAATGCCTCCACTAGTCTCTAATCCAGAGTGAAAGCTGCCCATTCAAGCGATAGGCTTATCTAAGGTCCAAGAGGGTGAGCTGAAGCTGACACGGAAATCAATTATGGTCATAGTTGGAGAGATTACCCTTTTGACTGTGAAAGGCACGTGCCCGTGGTGTCACATCTTCAATGGATGTCAGAGCTGATCATGGCTTACTAAGAAACCTTCCGTAATGCCTTTGGAGGTGACATCCAGGAGAAAAAAGGCTGCACAGTCAGGATTTTAGACATGAGGCCTTGTTGGAAGCCCACTGGAGTGTGCCAAAGACAGAACCAATCAAGATGCGAAATCCCCCAAAGCCTAGCCTCCAGTCTTTGTGGAAAAATTCAAATGGGGAAGTAATGTAAAATCAACTACTTGAGATGAGACCAGAGTAATGTCATCACCAGTTTCCAATCAACCTGAAGAAGAAGAGACAAGCATGTCCTGGGGTCAATACCTTGGATGAAGATTCCAATATTCAAATATTCAAATGCTATTAGTTTGTTTTTTAATTGATATAGTTACATCTTGCCTTATATCAAGGGATCTTAGATAACCCAATATAATGGCTGGAATTTGAAAGAAGATGGAATCAGGAACCAACATGGACAAGATGGAGAACTAAGTCCAAAGTAACAAAACTTATTTTAATAAAAATAAAAATAAAGACACCTGATTTGAATGCAGTATATGTGAAAAGGATCTAGGGGTCTTACTAGACCATAGTCCAGTCCCTCCCCTTACAAGTGTTCAAGGGAGGAGAATAAAATCTCAAGGTGGAGGACAAGAGATGAACCTCTGAGGATGCCTGCCATAGATGCAGGTGAAACTTCAGGAGAATGCTTCTAGAACATGGCCATATGGCCTGAAATACCTACAACAACCCAGTGATTCTAACCATGAAAGCCTTCGACAAAACAAGAGAGGAATAATAGCTTTGGAGGAGCTGCAGCCCAATAGCCAACCAAGTCCTTCTTTGGTTCAACAGGGTGGGTTCTCTTTGTAGTAGGAAGAGAAGTTGGAATAGAGGTCTCCCAGATGGTGAAAAGGGCAGATGTTCCAGTGTTTTGCTCAAATCATTTCCCACATTGGAGCAAAAGACTCCAATCAAGGTATTAGGAGGAGCACAGCTATCGGATGCCTTCCCTCAGTAGTGGCTGGGATTAGGGGGCTGTCTGAATAGCCTGCTTTATATTAGAAGGTTACTTTCTCCAGCCAAGTTCCTGCATGCAACGTCAGTTCTTCTTTTGACAACTTGGCTCTTGCAATGTGCTTAAGGACTTTATGACTCTTGGGTTATTTATTTACTTGGTTACCACAATGTCCTAGAACTTTGTCTCTGATTTATTGCTTTTTGACTTTGAATAGTTTGCCAAAAAGATTTCCTGTTTCCATGGCTTCTGAATCTGGCATTTTGAATTCTTGATGAAGATTTAGAGGAGAACATTTTACTTGGAGAAGAGAAGACTGAGAGGTGACATGATAGTAATCTTCAAATATTTGAGTAGATGTTATGCAGAAGATGGAACAAGCTTGTTTTCTAGAGTTCCAGAGCCTAGAACATAACCTATGGATTTAAGTTACAGGAAAAGGGATTATATCTAAACACTGGGGAGATAAGAACTGTTCAACAGACTATCTCAGGAAAAGTGAGCTCTTCTTCTTGGGAATTTTCCATCCCATTGCAAAGATCATTAGTTGATATTGCACTTTTACTTATCTCTTCCCTTTTAATAGTCTTGAGACTCATCTATGAAAGGTGTTAGCTTTACCACATAGATCAGGTATAACATAGTGATAAGAGTACATGATTCTCTGGCAGGACAAGGCAGTTGGGAACAGATTGAAATCATGAAAAGCTACATCCATGGACCTGCTTCCTGGGAATGGAACTTATTGGTCTACTATTTTCATTGAATTTTCTTTAAAAAACAAGACAAACCCTTACTTTTTAAAATCAATTTAAATTGCAGGTTGAGTAACCTTTATCCAAAATGCTTGGAACCAGAAATGATTTGGATCCTTCATGATTTTGGAATATTTATTTATTTATTATATTCCTATCCTGCCTTTCTCAAACCCGAAGGTGACTCAAGATGGCTTACAACCGGGTAACCATTCAATGCCTTAACAATATACACTTAAAAACATGTGAAATGCGAATAAATTCCTCCTGTCATTTCAGATTCTTGAGTCCATCTCCAGCCTTGGGTCTCCCTCCAGCTTTGCATTGTGTTTGTTCACACCTGCACTGTCTTACAAGGTTGGAAAGAGACTGAGAATCTGCAAAACCGAGGTTATAAGGGACCTGTCCAGGAGATATCTGGGTAGCAGATGAATAAACAAGCAAGAAGGCTGCAATTGCCACCTTGTAGGAAGAAGCAGATGGTTGAAAGCAACACGTTTAGGATTTTTGAGCAATTTGGATTTCTGGATTAAAGATGCTCAGCCTGTATATACTTTACATTGTTTGACTATTGTTAGTAGTTTAATTCTGTTTTAATGTGGTTCTTTGGTATGTTTTTAAAATGTATCTTGTACTCATTTTAATGTATTATCTACCTTGAGTTCCAATTTTGGGGAAGAGCAAGTTATAAAGAAAGATGATGAGGATGATGACAACAGTAACAGTGGGAACGTCTACCATGAACTTACAAAAGATAGACTTCAGTATGATAATAACAATAGGGACCAAGCATTTGTGTGTAACGTGTGTTTAGATATGGCTATTCTCCCTCTAACACACACACACACACACACACAAAGGGGGGAGAAGAATAAAAGGACAAGTAGGTTCACTAATAAATGTGGTCACACAAAATGAGAAGGCTTCTAAGCACACCGTATGACACTGCCTTGCAAAGTAGCCTGTAACAATATATTAGCATTATGCACAAGTGTATCGGATTATCAACCTCTCTCCCTGTTGTTTTCTCTGAGTAATGGGACGTCGGCAGCCAACTGGAAAGATGAAGCAGCCCTGCTGTCTTTTAGAGCAGCTCTTGAATGATGTGAGAATGTTTTGGCAAATGTAAGGAAAGACTATCCCGGGCATCATTAATTTTTAAATTTTCTGCATGTTGTGATGCTGGAGAAAGAGAATGGGAGGGAGAGCAGGAAAAGTTGCTGAAAGTAATCAGACAGAAGCTATTCGGTGTATTTGGAACCAAGGCGTGTTTTCATGTCCGTGAAACCTAATCAGCCTGAAAGTTGTTATGGATCAGGCTTCCACGAAAGAAAATATTTTTTTCCTGAAAACATAAATGCAGGATAAACAATGTAGCATGTGGAGAAGGGGGGTTTCTAAATTTGAACCAACATTACCAGTGTGTTGTTGAAGGCTTTCATGGTCGGAATCACATGGTTACTGTGAGTTTTCTGGGCTATATGACTATGTTCCAGAAGCATTCTCTCCTGACGTTTTACCACATCTATGGAAGGCATCATCAGAGGTTGTGAGGTCAGTGTAAGCAATCAAAGGCTCCCACAACCTCTGAGGATATTTGCCATAGATGTGGGCAAAACATTAGGAGAGAATGCTTCTGGAATATGCACCCCAGAAAACCTACAGCAACTCAACATTAGCAATGTTGAAAACAAATAATGACCACTCATGTCAGAATCATGTCAGAAGTGACTTGAGAAACTGCAGAAGGGTGTGAGATAATAATTAGCCATCTGCAGAGACATTGCCCAGCGGACGCCCAGGTGTGTTACTCCCGTGGGAGGCTTCTCTCATGTCCTTGCATGGGAAGCTGGAGCTGACAGATGGGAGCTCACCCCATCTTGTGGATTCAAACCACCGACCTTCAGGTCAGCAGTTCAGCTAGCACAAGGGTTTAACCCATTGCGCCACCACAGCTCTCGCATGAGTGGGTGAGATAGTGATACCTTGCCTTAGCTTTCCAATAGTTCAATGTATACAAACTTTGTTTTATGTATACAATTATTTAAAAGATTGTATAAAATTAGCTCCAGGCTATGTGCATAAGGTGTATGTGAAACATAACTGAATTTCGCATTGAGACTTGAGTTCCATAAGATATCTCCTTATATACATAATTCAAAATGTTTCTGGTCCCTGTCATTTCAGATGATGGATACTCAACCTGTACCTGGTTTTGGCAAATGCTCCTCTTAGGATGTTCGAACAGGCATTTGGTTAATCGGTGCAATGAATGTGATGATTACAGGAATGGTAATATGGACGACGAAACTGGATCACGATTTTAGTCATGAGATGCATTGGGTTGTTATTGTTGTGTCAATATTGTGTATTATGCTTTTATGGTTTTAAATTGTATATCGTTGACTGTTGTACCTTTGTTGTAAACCACGTTGAGTCGCCTGTTAGGCTGAGAAACTGCGGTATACAAGTAAAGTAAATAAATAAATAAATAAATTAGACACTTCATAAATACTACTACTTCTGCCACTAATTTTATTTCTTACCCACTTCTCCTCCTATATAATATTATCAGTGATATGAATTTATTTGAATTGTAGAGCAGCTCTAGTCTACATTTAGCTGTCAGCTTTGCCTTCGGTTGAATCATTGAATCAAAGGGAACTTGCTTCATGGGTTCAGTGGGTTTACTTTGATTGCTGCAGTGGTCTGCAATTAATGACACAGCATTGCACTTTCATCCCATGCCCTTGTTCATTAGCTGCCACTTAAACTATCCCATTCTTTTGTTCTTGTTTATAGTTTATTATTTATTTATTTATTTATTATTTGCACTTATTGACCGCCACTCTCAGCCCGAAGGCGACTCGTGGCGGTGTACAAAACATAGAACATACAGACGACAGTTACAGTAATCAGGTCCATAACACAACATCTTACTAACATACAACTACTTAACTAAAAATCCGCTTCGTCTTGTTTGGGTCATAATCGGTCTCATAGTCATAATCCATTCCGGTGGTCATTCCAAAACATAGCACTTAATTGAAGGCCTTTTCAAAGAGCCAAGTTTTCAGGCCCTTGCGGAAGGCCATGAGGGAAGGCGCCTGTCTAATTTCGGCAGGGAGGGCGTTCCATAGCCGGGGGGCCACCACCGAGAAGGCCCGCTCTCTAGTCCCCGCCAAGCGTGCCTGTGAGGCAGGCGGGACCGAGAGAAGGGCCTCTCCGGATGATCTCAAGGTCCTCGTGGGCTCGTAGGCCGAGATGCGGTACTCAAGGTATTTTGGGCCGGAACCGTTTAGGGCTTTGTAGGTTAGCACCAGCACCTTGAATTGGGCCCGGTAGCTGATCGGCAGCCAGTGGAGCTGGGACAGCAAGGGCGTTGTGTGCTCCCTGCGTCCCGCTCCGGTTAACAACATGGCTGCCGCGCGCTGGACTAGCTGAAGCTTCCGGGCCGTCTTCAAGGGCAGCCCCACGTAGAGAGCGTTGCAGTAGTCGAGGCGGGATGTGACCAAAGCGTGTACCACCGTGGCCAAGTCAGACTTCCCAAGATACGGGCGCAGCTGGCGCACGAGCCGAAGCTGTGCAAAAGCTCCCCTGGTCACCGCTGAAACCTGGGGATCCAGGCTCAGCGCTGAATC